AAAGAAACCTATAAGTAGGTCTTATTTTCGGAGGATGTTTTATTTTCGGGGAAACACGGTAGATACTTATGATAACTTAGCTAGAAAAAAAACCATAAAATAACTCTCAAATTTTATAGAATTTAAAAGCTAGTAGTTTAGGTAAAATAATTAGGAAAGAGCAATGGTGAAAACTCTTGAGTTATAGAATAATCATTAAAAAATAATGTTGCGCCGGGACCGGTTTGGCTCAATGGATAGAGTGTCGGCTTGGGGACTGAAGGGTCCCGGGTTCGATTCCGGTCAAGGGCATGTACCTTGGTTGCAGGCATATCCCTGGTGGGGTGTGCAAGAGGCAGCTGATCGATGACTCTCATCGATGTTTCTAACTCTCTATCTCTCTCCCTTCTTCTCTGTACAAAATCAATAAAATATATTTAAAATAAATAAATAAATAAATAAATAAATAAATAAATAAATAATGTTGTGCCCTAACTGGTTTGGCTCAGTGGATAGAACATCGGCCTGCAGACTGAAAGGTCCCAAGTTCAATTCCAGGCAAGGGCATGTACCTTGGTTGTGGGCACATCCCCAGTAGGAGGTGAGCAGGAGGCAGCTGATCAATGTTTCTGTCCCATTAATGTTTCTGACTCTCTATCACTCTCCCTTCCTCTCTGTAAAAAAAAAAAAAATCAATAAAAATATATTTTAAAAAATAATAAAAATGTTGAGGCTCTAAAGAAAGAAGACATGAACACTGGGTACCTGACAACCTTCTGTACACCATATGTCACAAATAAAGGAGTGACAGTAAAAACATGTGGTCCCATTGTCTCAAATAGATTGCTTCATTCTTGACATTAATAGTTTAAAAAATTGAGGCTTAAAATTAAAAATATTTTATTCTTACCAACATCCTGGAAGAAACCAAGGAGGTCATGCATAAATGGAAAGACAGCCTGTGTTCATGATTGAAGAGTGAATAGTTATTATGACTCTATTACTCAAAACCATCGGCAGATTCAAAGTCCCAATGACATTTTTTGAAGAAAAGAAACACCCATCCTAACATTCATGTGATCTCAAGACTCCAAGTATACAAACCTGAAAAGAACAACACTGAGGACTCCCACGTGTTCCTTTCAGAATGTAACTACAGAAACACCAATCACAGTGTGGCACTGTGTAAGGACAGACATGGCGACCAATGGAATATTAGAGAGAGCCCAGACACAAACCAAGTGATTTTCAACAAAGGCGCCAAGACCACTTAATAGGGAAAGGACAGTCTCTTCAACAAAAAGTGCTGGCAAACTGAATGAGCCCATGCAAAAGAATGAAGTTGGACCCTTAGCTTACAAACTAAACACCTAAACATAAGAGCTGAACTATGAAACTCTTAGAGAAAATTCTTTATAACATTAAATTTGACAATAATATTTTAAATATGGCATTAAAAATAGATAATTTGGCTTCTTCAAAATTAAAAACTTTTGTGCAACAAGACATTTCAAGAGAATGAAAAGACAATCCAGGGATGGGAGAAAGTATTTACCAATTATCAGATAAGAGATCAATATCTAGAATATATAAAGAACTACAAATCAACAATAAAAACCCAACAATCTGATTCAGTGCAGAAAGGCCTTGCATAGATATTTCTCTAAAGAAGACATACAAATGGCCCATAAGCACATGAAGAGATACTCAACATTGCTAATTATTGAGGAAATGCAAATCGAAACCACAATGAGGCCCTAGCTGATTTGCTCAGTGGACAGAGTGTCAGCTTGTGGACTGGAGAGTCCCGAGTTCGATTCCAGCACACGCTCGGTTGCAGGCTCAATTCCCAGTACAGGAGGCAGCCGAATCAATGATTCTCTCTCATCATTGATGTTTCTATCTCTCCCTCTCCCTTCCTCTCTGAAATCAATAAGAATGTTAAAACATACACACACACACACACACACACACAAAATGAGAATGCCACTTCACACCCATTAGGCTGGCTATGACAAAAAGAGAAAAAAAAACACACCACAAATTGACAACTGCATATGAGGAATTGGAACCCTTGTACACTGATGCTGGAAATATAAAATGGTATAGCTACTGTTGAAACAAACATGCAGTTCTTAAAAAATATTAAAGATAGACTTGCCATATAATCCAGGAATTTCACTTGCAGGTTATACCTCAGAGAACTGAACGCAGGGATTCAAACAGATATAAAGGTTATTATATACCATGCTTCATAGAAGCATTATTCGCAATAGCCAAAAGATAGAAACGGATGGATCAACAAAATGTGATAAAGCACATAAAATGAAGTATTATTCAGCCTTAAAAAGGAATGAAATCATGACATAATCAACAACACAGATTATGTTATGTGAAATAAAACCAGGAAAAGGGCTAATTTTAGGATTCTGCTTTAATGAGGAACCAGAGTAGTCAAATTCATAGAAACAGAAGCTAGAATGCTAGTTCCCAGAAGCTGAAGGAGAAGGAAATAGCAAGTTACCATTTAATGGGGACAGAGTTTCAGTTTGGAATACTGAAAAACTTCTGGAGCTAGATATTGGCATAATGGTACAACAACGTGACTGTTTCTTTCCATTCTAGTAACCTTATCACCGGCTCAGAGAAGTGCTCTGCCTCTACAGGAAAACACACAATTATACTTCACACCTGCATGGAAAGCACCTGGAGGCGGACTGGCTTTGGAAATGGGACTGGTGCTCACATTCCCCACAACCCACTCAAATGTATAAGTAAACAACCACAGTAGGTGATTCATAACTGTAACTGCCAGCATATTCCTCAATCGTTTGTGCAGAAGAACTAAGTAAACAAGAATCTAGAGGACTCCTCAGGGATCACAGTCCAGTACAGGGGTTAGCATGTTTCATTCTAAAGAAAACCAAAGCCTGACAGGTTTGATTAGTTCAACCGAATTGAATGCAAATAACTTATACTAATAAAAGGCTAATGCGCTAATTAGGCAGGACATCTTGCAGACGTCCTTCTGGACAAAGCCACAGTGGCTGTGAGGGCCAAGGCTGGCAGCTGGGAGAGGCGGCTGCGTGAGAGAGGTGTCAGTGCGGGCGGGGCAGCAGGAGGGGGCTGCGCAGTCGGTCCCAGTGCTGCCCCTTCCGCAGAGGCAGCCACAGAGACACATTAGCTAACGAGGTGCGACTTAACGGCCTGGCGCCACGCCTCCACATTAGCTGGACGAGGTGTGACCTGCTATGCCTCAACCTCCCACAGACCCTCCCCCAGCCAGCCTGGCCCCAGATCATCCCCACCCACCAGTGGGCAGGGGGCGGGGCCAATGCTAAGAAGCAAGGACCAGTGGCCAGCAGTTAGATGGCCAGCAGCCTGTCGCAGCAGTCGGCCGGCAGTAGCCAGCAGCAGGGTGATGGGGTGGCGCCTTCCCATGATCAGCCTGGTGGCCTCCTACAGAGGGAAGCCAGACTGCGGCTTAGATCCCCTCTGAGAGGGCCTATGCCATCAGTAGGACATCACTGAGAGCTCCCAGACTGTGAGAGGGGGCAGGCCAGGCTGAATGTACCCTCCCTCCCCCAGTATACAAATTTTCATAGACCGGGCCCTAGTATCAGTACTAGTACTAGTAGTAGTAGTAGTAGTAGTAGTAGTAATAATAATAATAATAATAACAATAATAGAAAACAAGGCAAAGGAGAGTTCATGGCTCTTGAGGAAAACTGAACCTTGAGATCCAACTTAATGCTGGCTCTTTCAGAGCTGGATTTTGTGTGGATCACTGTTGTTAATAATTTAATGCTATCCAGCTAGGTAGAACCTGGGGGATTATAATGCAGCCAAACATAATTCTAGTTATGCCAAAAAACAAATAAAAGGAATAAAAAGAAAGTTTTTAATATATTAGCATCAGATTTAAGAAGCATTACCTAATAAAAATCAGGGTTCAGTATTTAAACTTGAAATATGTGTTAATTAAGAAGATTAAAATACAGCCAAAGCCGGTTTGGCTCAGCGGTAGAGCGTCGGTCTGCAGAATGAAAGGTCCCAGGTTCGATTCCGGTCAAGGGCATGTACATGGCTGCGGGCATATCCCCGGTGTGGGGTGTGCAAGAGGCGGCTGGTTGATGTTTCTCTCTCATCGACGTTTCTAACTCTCTCTCTCCATCTCCCTTCCTCTCTGTAAAAAATCAATAAAATATATTTTTTTTAAAAAGAAGAAGATTAAAATACAAAGGCTAACTCAGGAAATAAAGATCATACTGCTATGTGATAAGCATGCTATGATTTTATGCTTTTTAAAAAACACTTTTTAAATTGACTCTTAGAGAGAGAAGAAGGGAGAGGGGGAGAGAGAGAGAAACATTCACCAGCTGTCTCCTGCCCTAGCAGGCATGCGCCCTCACCGAGAATCAAACAGGCAACCTTTGGTGCACACAGGATGTGGTGCTCAACCAACTAAGCCATGCCAGCTGGGGCTCTTTATTAGCATTTGTCTTTTTAATTCAAGTATCCTTGATAGATTAATTTTTCAAAATGTGTATTATAAAACATTTAAGACTATAACTACACTTCTCTCAAGATATTCCATCATAAAGATTCACTGATTTGGCCGAAACCGGTTTGGCTCAGTGGTAGAGCATCAGTCTGCAGACTGAAAGGTCCCAGATTCGATTCTGGACAAGGGCATCTACTTTGGTTGCAGGCACATTCCCAGTAGGGAATGTGCAGGAGGCAGCTGATCCATGTTTCTCTCTCATCGACCTGGTCGATATTTCTCTTTCATCAACGTTTCTCTCTCTCTCTCTCTCTCTCTCTCTCTCTCTCCCTTCCCTCTGTAAAAAATCAATAAAAAAATAAATAAATAAAAAATAAAAAGATTCACTGATTTGTACAAAAGCATCCCTCGTTCATTTATTCCAAATAATAGTAAATTCCAGAAGTTAATTAAATTTTTCTTGATTATAAACTTTAAGGAAAGAATGTTACATTAAATCTACAAATTAAAATGAGTTTCACTTTTTTATCATATGTTTAAATTTGAAGGCTTTAGACATTACCTTGAAATGTTTAAATGTGCGCTTCCGATATTCACACCATTCCACAAAAAAGTGCAGGCTTCGGAAAAACATAAACAGATCTCTTCTTTCTTCTGCTCTGTAGGAATAAAAAAGATGATGATTAATAAATATTGTTAAATGAGAGGTCCAACCTGGCTTTATTCAATATTCTTTTTTATAGATCTTTCACTAAAGCTAAAGAAAATCTTAGATATATTTCTACATACTGAAGCCTGTACTTTTGAGTGTGTGCTTGCTAATGCAAATTTTTCAGCCTGGAATATCCTTTTCTCCATCTCTAAATCTTTAAATCCTACCCATCTTTCAAAACACCACTCAGATGCCACGTTCTCCTTGGAATTTTATTTGAGAACTGTGGTAGAATAAAAAACATATCTTACTTTGTCCCTAGTTGATGGCACAGAGCTTCAAAAACCCTTAAAAGTTCCAAAACTGGTTTGGCTCAGTGGATAGAGCATTGGCCTGCAGATTGAAAGGTCCTGGGTTTGATTCTGGTCAAGGGCATATACCTTGGTTGAGGGCACATCCCCAGTAGGGGGTGTGCAAGAGGCAGCTGATCGATGATTCTCTCTCATTGATGTTTCTAACTCTCCCTCTCTCTTTCCCTGTGTAAAAAATCAATAAAAGAAAATTAAAAGAAAAATTTAAAAAAGTTCTAAGTGACAGGAGTGCCTTTGTGATGTGAATGACTCAAGGTGAGACCTAGACAGCCTCCAGATAGGGACCAGTCACCAGAATCACCAACCACTTGATCAAAAAGATTGAAACTTTGGGCCAATCAGATCTCCAGGAAGGAGAGAGCGGTGGGAGAAGCTCAATCACGTGGACAATCATTTAATCACCAATAAAAAATCTGGATAACAAGCTCAGTAAAGCTTCCTAGTTGGTGAACACATTGATGTGCTGGAGGCTAATGTGCATGGATTCCACAGGAAAGGGCATAAAGTCTACATATCTCCTCGTACCCCCACCTGTCCCTGCCCCGGATCATGGCCTAATCATTGTTTCCATTTAACTGTTTCTAGGTTGTAACTTTAATAATAAAATCACAACCCTAGGTGGTTTGGCTCAGTGGATGGAGCGTCAGCCCATTGACAGAAGGGTCCCAGGTTCAATTAGGGCCAAGAGCACATACCTGGGATTGCCAGCTTAATCCCCAGTGCAGAAGGCAGCCAATATATGATTCCCTTTCATCATTGATGTTTCTATCTCTCTTTCCCTCCTCTCCCTTCCTCTCTGAAATCAATATAAATATATTAAAAATAATAATAATCTGTATAATAAAAGGATAATATGCAAATTGACCCTAATGGCAAAACCACCAGGAACTATTGGTTGCTATGATGCACACTGACCACCAAGGGGCAGGTGCTCAGCACAGGAGCTGCCGCCTGGTGGTTAGAGTACTCTCCCACAGGGGGAGCTCTGCTCAGCTACAAGCCAGGCTGACAGGGTGAGTGGTGGGAGCCTCTCCCGCCTCCTCCAGAGCACTAAGGATGCTCGACTGTGGCTTAGGCCTGCTCCCATGGGAAGTGGCCTAAGCTAGCAGGTGGACATCCCTTAAGAGGTCCTGGACTGCAAGAGGAGGTAGGCTGGGCTGGGGGATCCTGCCCCTCCTCCCGAGTGTACAAATTTTTGTGCAACTGGCCTCTAATAATAATAATAATAATAATAATAAAATAAGTTTTTAATATAGCATTTTTCAAAGAGTTTCTTGAATCTTAGCAAATTATAAAATCTGAAGGGGCTTGCCCTAGCTGACCTGGCTTAGTGACTAAAGCATCAGCCTGTGGATTAAAGGGTCCTGGGTTCGATTTTAGCAAAGGCCCATGCCAGGGTTGCAGGCTCCATCCTCACTAGGTGGCATGCAGGAGGCAGCTGATCAATGATTCTCTCTCATCATTGATGTTTCCATCTCTCTCTCTCTTTCTTCCTCTTTGAAATCAACAAAAATATATTTTAAAAAATATCTGAGAGGGCTGTGGGAACACTCAAATGATTGCTAAGTAGGTCAGACATGCAGGGGCCCCGGAAACTTGTGCTAACATATGAAATGGAGCAGACTTGTGGAGGATTTTGCCCTTAACCTGTGGGTCAGAAAATGATCTCACCACCATACCACATGTTCTCCTCCAAAACCACTAGAGATAATTTCTGTGCCTACGAGTTTGTGGACTAAAAGGGGCCACATACTAACCTGGCTAACTCAGGGAAGGCCTGGGTGGAGTCTTACAAACTAAGAGATCTAAAGTCAGACCACAGATGTAGAGGAGGAGGAAACGAAGATGGCTGCATAGGTAAACGCCTAACTGCAGCCTCACACAACAATTTCAAAAAACACCACTAAAATATAAAGTGGACATTATCCAGAACTACAGGAAAGTTGACTGACTGGAAATTCTATAACTAGAAGGAAAGAGAAAAACCGGAAGGAAAAATCAGAGGAGCTGTAAAAGCCTAAGGTACAGAGACACAGTGCACATGTGAGGAGAGGACGGAGCTGGAGAGGAGGGGCGGCTGAGTGCCTGGTTGCCGTTCCCTAGTGGGAAGGAGATAAAAGCTCCGGACTGTGCTGAACCCCAGTTCCAACTACATTGAACCCCAGTTCTGGACGAGACCCTGGGATTCCAAGCTCATACAGAGTGAATCTGGGCTGTAAGGCGGAAACTCAGGGAAGCAGCGAAAGGCAGAGCCCCAGAGTCGCACACATTGCATGCAGAGGAGGGACTGTTGACTGTGCCACTAGATTACCCTAGTAGGAAGGAGACAAAAGCTCCAGACTGTGCTGAGCCCCAGTTTCGACTGCACTGAACCCCAGTTCTAGACCAGACACAGGGGACCCAAGCTCATACGGAGGGAATCTAGGCTGTAAGGTGGAAACTCAGGGGAGCAGCAAAAGGCAGAGCCCCAGAGTTGCGCACATTGCGCACATAGGACTGACTGTTGACTGTGCCACTAGATTGCCCTAGCGGGAAAGAGACAAAAACTCCGGACTGCACTGAACCCCACTTCCAACTGCACTGAACCCCAGTTCTGGGCTCATTGGGGGAGAGACTAGACTGGTAGTGGGCAAAACTCAAGGGCACATTTCTGTCAGAGGTGCTTGCAGCGAGTACCAAAGGACACTGAGGAACACAGACTCAGGAACCTCATGGTGGGGGGCTGACTAGAAGCCAAGGCTGTAGGCTCCACCCTGAAACTCCGGCCCATCCAAGCTGAGCACAAAGGCCTTTGAATAAGGCTGTCTCCTGGCATAGACACAGCTGATCCTCACAGCCAATTGGACTGGAGGTCAGTCCCTCCCAGTGATACCAACAACAATTAAGACTTAACTACAAAAGCCTGTACACACAATCCACAAAGAGGTGCACCAAGAGTGTCCACCTCAGATAACTGGGAGGCTAACCCACTGAACCATATAGGGCATCTTAACACACAAAGCCACCCTACAAACTCAGTGAAGCAGTGAAAATGCCGAGACAAGGAAACAGATCACAAACGAAAGAAATGGAGGACAAAAAGCGACTGGATATAGAGTTTAAAACCACGCTTATAAGGTTTTTCAAGAATTTCCTAGAAAAGGCCGATAAAATAAATGAGACCTATGAGGATATGAAAAGGGATCAACTAGAAATAGAGAATAAATTGTCTGAAATAAAAAATATACAGAGTCCTAAAAACAGAATGGAAGATCGCAAGAATCAAGTACAAGATTTGGAACACTAAAACCCAGAGGACACTCCTCTGCAGAAGCAAGAAGACAAGAGAATCCAGAAAGTTGAAGATAGTGTAAGAAACCTCTGGGACAACTTTAAGTGAACCAACATCAGAATTATAGTGGTCCCAGAAGATGAGAGAGAGCAAGATACCGAAAACATATTGAAAGAAATAGTGACAGAAAACTTCCCCCACCTGGTGAAAGAAATAGACTTATGAGTCCAGGAAGCACGCAGAACCCCAAACAAAAGGAATCCAAAGAGGATCACACCAAGACACATCATAATTAAAATTCCAAGAGCAGCAGAAACCGGTTTGGCTCAATGGATAGAGCATCAGCTTGAGGAATAAAAGGTCCCGGGTTCGATTCTGGTCAAAGGCATGTACCTTGGTTGCAGGCATATCCCAGGTAGGGGGTGTGCAAGAGGCAGCTAATCGATGACTCTCTCTCATCGATGTTTCTAACTCTCTATCTCTCTTCCTTCCTCTCTGTACAAAATCAATAAAATATGTTTTTTTAAAAATTAAAAAAAAATAAAATAAAATTCCAAGAGCAAAAGACAAAGAGAGAATATTAAAAACAGCAAGAGCAAAGCAAGTAGTTATCTATAAAGGAGCACCCATACGATTGTCAGCTGATTTCTCAACAGAAACCATGCAGGCCAGACGGGAATGGCAAGAAATATTCAAGGTGATGAATAACAAGAACCTACAGCCAAAAATACTCTATCCAACAAAGCTATCACTCAGAATCGAAGGCCAGATAAAGAACTTCACAAATAAAAAAAAAGCTAAAGGAGTTCATCAACATCAAACCAGAATTATATAAATTACTGAAGGGGGTTCTTTAGGAAGAGGAAGAAAATAAAGATAAAAATTATGAACAACAAATATGTAACTATCAACAAGTGAATCTAAAAACCAAGAGAATTAAAAAACCTGATGAACAATATTAACTGGTGAATATAATAAAATCAGAGGTATGGAAGGGGAATGGACTAACGATTTTTGGGGAAAAGAGGAGTGGGGGTGCGGGAAGAGACTGAACTAAAACTGTGCACCTATGGATGAGGACAATGGGAGGTGGGGAAGGGCAGAGGGTGGGGTGGGAACCTGGTGGAGGGGGAAAAAATGAGGAACTTTTGTAACAATATGAACAATAAAGATTAAAAAAAAAAAAAAAAAGTCCAACCACAAAGGATGGTCGCATGTTTTGACTGTTAACTATCCTAAGTAAAATAAACATGAGTCTATCGTTTTAATTTTTATCCAATCCCAGGGTGGCCATCTTGTGTTGGAGTGATAGTCAACTTGCATATTACCTCTTTGTTATATAAGAGGATTTACTTATTGGGGTTA